CTTCACGTTTTTTTTTGTTAGCTGAGTCACTGGGATGGCAATTTTTGAATACCTTTCAATTAATTGCCTATAATAACTTGCTAATCCTAAGAAGCTACGCTCTTCTCTAATATTAGTTGGCCGAGACCACTTGGTAATTGCTTTCACTTTACCATGGTCAACTTTAGTTTCTTAGGTTGTGATTACGTGGCCCCCCGAATAGGCCTGGGCAAAAAAATCGAAAATCTAATCAAACCAATAAAATCGAACCGACTCAAATTGATTTAGGTCAATTTGACACCAGTAATTGGTTTGGTTTGGTTTGATTTTCTCTTAAATAAAATCATGATAGGTCAGTTCTGTCATGGTTTGAAGCCTCAAGTCAGTGGTTAACTGAACCAACCCAATCCACTTACACGTTTACCTTTTTTGAAAAATGAAAAAAATAAAATGATAAGCCCTAATTTTGTAACATTATCTCGATTCCCTCCAATCCATAATCTTGTCGGTGAGTAATAACGTTGAAAATTTCCTTTTACAAGCTTATTGTGTTATACTTAGCTATTTTTTCCATACTCAGACAATTAAGCTACATAAAGCATAAAAAAGCAACAAAAATCTTAAATTTTTTGTTGATCCATCTCTGTTAACATGATTTTATTTGTTATTCAATATTTTTTAATATATAAAGTTATTTTAGTTCTTATAATCTAAACGGGCCCAAAACTTGGACTTTCTTTTTTTTAAAATCAATTTGGAGTAAAAGTCCAAATCGACTAATTGAACCGAACCAAACTGATTTGGTATGGTTCAGTTCGATTTGAGAGTTAAGAGGGTTGTTTTAGGTTGAAATTCACCAAAACGACTAATTTGGTTTCAGTTTCAGGTTGAAGTATAAAACCGACCTAAACCAAACCATGCCTAGGCCTAGCCTTGAAATCCCACTTTATTGAGTCAAAGTTCACACCTCTTGAATTTGGCATTGAGCTTCTCCTTCCTCAGTATTTTGAGAATAATTCTTAGGTGTTCTGTATATTCATGCTCACTCTTTGATTAAATGAGTATATCATCTATAAAGATAATAACAAACTGATCCATATAGTTAATAACAAACTGATCCGTATAGTTGTACAAAACTCGATTCATGAGATCTATGAAGACTGCTGTTGCATTTGTCAAAGCCAAATGGCATCACTAGGAACTCATGGTGCCCATATCAAGTTCTAAATCCTGTCTTAGAAACGTGAGTTGCTTTAATTTTTAACCGATGATAGTCGGATCTTAAATCAATTTTTGAGAAGACCTTGACACCTTATGGCTGGTCAAATAAATCTTCAACTCTAGGGAGGGGATATTTATTATTAATTGTAATACGGTTTAGCTCTTAATAATGGATACACATTCTCATCGATCCATCCTTCTTTATGAACAATATTGGAGCTCTCCATGGTAAGACACTTGGTCTAATAAAACTCTTATCTAGCAACTCCTGCAATCGTACTTTCAATTCTTAAAGTTCTACTGGTGCCATACAATAAGGAGCCTTTTAAATTGATGTGGAACCCGATACGAGGTCAATAGTAAACTTAACCTTTCGGTTTGGAGGCATTCCTAGTAAATCTTCCGGAAATACATCTAAAAAATTCCTAACCACTCAAACTTCGTTGATTCTTAACTCCTTTTGATCAATACTGGTAAAAGACACTAAGAATCCTTGAGCAGACTTCTTTTTCAACAAGCATTCAACCTGCACAATTGACATAAGCTGGGGTAAAGATTTCACCCTTGCTCCAAAGAAATGAAATTCTTCACCAGGTTGTTGAAAAATTACATCGTTCTCAAAACAACGAATGGTTGCATGATTTTTTAACAACCAGTCCATTCCAATTATAACGTCAAAATCTTTCATGTTTAAGACCACAAAATCTGTTCTTTTCTAAATTTAGGTTCCATGCTATAATTTACATTAACCACTTTCCTAGGCAGTAGTGAAACTTCTAATATGTTATCAAAGGGTACACATTCTTTATTCATACTTTGAAATGAATATCGAAGAAACAAACGAGCATGTAGTGGCCGTATACTTAAGCCTTTTCCAGGACTCCTTGATAAGTACCTAACTGGAATGCTGCCATTGCTTTCCTAATGTCAGTTTTCAGTCCATGCTCAAAATGTTGAGCTTGTCTCTCCTCTTTGTCCACCAGATGTGTGGCAAATCTGGATAACTCCTCAAAGTTTCACTCATAATCAATGTCCTATTTTGCTCGATTTAGGTCAAGAAACTCTGCTTCCTTCTTGTATCTTAAAGTAGCTGGAAAGTACTTCTGAAGCACTCTCTCTTTGAACTGTGCATATTTAAGGTTACGCTGTTGCTTCTCAATATGTGATCTAGTAGTCATCTCCCACCAATGACCTGCTCCCTTCTCCATCATAAATACCGCATAGGATTCTTTGTGCGTCGATGCATTCCATGAACCTGAAGATACGCTCAAGATGTTGAAGCCATTCTTCAGTAGCCCGTGGATCAAGGCCCCCTTCAAATTCGGGTGGAAGCATCTTGTGAAATTGTTCCATAAGTGAATATGATCTACGATTGCCTTGTGGCTGATGAGATGGTTGCTACTACGACATCTAGCTTAGCAACTAGTAATTCTCGTACTTAGCTGCCTTCTAAACCTTAAATATGAGGATCGTATATTATAGGCTATTTAAGTATATTCAACTAACCTGATATAGCTAACAACGATAGAATACGTGAGTATAAATAGTGTTGATTTTGATTAATTTATTCTTATTGTTTTCAATAAGATTTGACTAAATGGGCTTTACATAATTTTTTTCATTGGGTTTGCAATATTGCTTTTCGTCTTATTGATTTGAATAACGCGCAACTTCCAGGTGAGGAGGGGACTACAAGTGGACCGCTTAAATCCCAAGCTGACATTAAATAGTTTTGGTCTTTTTGACAAAACTTTTCAGCCTTATGAATACGCAAATACAAAATTCAAAAATAAATATTTCGAATTTTTTTAATTTTTTACATAATCACTGCTTTGCTTGATTACTTTTCTAATTCTCGTCATGGTTCTATGGAAATAAGCATCGCTTGAATTTTCTATAAAATATAATAATTTAATTTTTTACAGGATATATCAAGTTCAAGCATTCAAATATAACAATTTAATTTTTTACAGGATATATTAAGTTCAAGCATTCACTTGTTAACTTTAAAACTAAAGTAATTTCATACCTTAGATCGTTGGTTAGAGGTTGATCATGCTGTTCTCGATGTCGTGTGGATCAAAATTTATATAAAACTTTAACATATAAAGAAATCTAAAATTTTAATTTCACACAGTCTGTAGGAAAGATTGGCTGGGCTCTAATACCATGCTGTAACTCCGCGAAACCCATGTTCCAAAGGTTACTCAAATAATTCCTTTAGCCATTATAAAGTTGATTGACACATACCTTATTCGTTAAATTTAAAAAAATCCATACCTTATTCGTTCAATTTCTTGTGCACTTCAACTATTTAGGACTTAAATTTCTTGCGAACGAATCTTGAACTTGTGAGAATTTTTTTTTTGTTTTCCTTTCTTTCCTCTCTTTCTTTCCTTTCTTTCTTTTTTCCCTCCCTTTTCTCGTGGTTTCTCTCTCTCTCTCTCTCTGTTATTTTTCTCTCTAAATTTTTGTGTATTGAAATGCAACAGCAAGAGGGTATTTATAGGTGTAATTAGGTAAAGATGGTTAACTAATTAGAATTTTAATAGGACTTTTAATTCAAATTTAAATTGGTCTTTCAAGAAACAAACTTATTATGACATTCGAATTTAAAAAAATTCTAACCATATGAGTACAAGATTCTAGTGTGGATATATGCAAATTTCAAGTTTTATCTAAATGTTATTATATCAGATAATTCAATAATAATTTAATAGATATCCAAAATAATATCAAAATTTAATTTCGTATAAAACTCATATATATCCAATTATTAAGAATATTAACACAAGGTTCCTTGAAAATGGTAAAGTTGCTAAGTTACCGTAAAATCTCAAAACGTGCATTTATGCCTCTATATAGTACTTAGTTTGGGGTATTACAGTTGCCATGAAGTCTCTTGCACCTATTAAGCTCAACCTTATTTGAAGTGGGTAATGGAACTGGTGGATGGTCCGTCTTCCCTTAAGTGATATCAGCTTTTAGCAATCAACTAACATGATATGGTGGATCTACTTCATTGCACCTAGTGCTCTCCTATCATATCTGCGTTCAACGCTGGGAGCGTTAGTAGCAACAGACAACCTAATGCTCAAGCAAATGTAATAACAATAGCTCATGTATCTGGCAAGATCTGTTTCCTATTTTGAGGGGTGTCCCTTTTTTTTTTTGTTTTGGGGGGGGGGGGGGGGGGGGGGGGATTGGATCATAAGCTCATTAAATGTAGTGCTTTCGTTTTTCGCTAATCCCTTTGTTCCACATCATGGGTGGCAATATACGGTCATCTTTTTTATATTAATGAGGATTGGTACAATCATTACTAGCTCTTGTTTGACTGAGATAAAAATTAGATTTTTATTAGATTTGGATAAAACTTGATGGAATTTGAGATTGAAAAGTTGTAGATCCCAATGAAATGTGTGGTTAAAATTAATTGTTGAGTTTGACTTAAATTTTATTCAAGTTTTTTTAAGTTAGACCAAACAGAGGCCTATTTCTTTTTCTCTTGTTAAATAATATTGTGAATTAGCTGTGATTTAATGGTTTCTCATGACTTAAGCTTTCCGGTACATTCTTTCTGGACTGCTGTAAGCTATTTAAGTTTATCGTTACATATGCATATAGTTGGATCATATTACATTTTGATTATATATTTGCTTAAATTTCCTCTTTTAAGTCGTTTATATGCTTAGTAGTGTTGCATATTTTCTGGAGCTGTTTCTTGTCCTTTTATTAGAGGTTAGCCATGTCTGTCACAAATAATCATTTTAATCATTACTTCATTTTCTCTGGTTCAGCAAAAGAGATGCAACGGGTTCGCTTGTTTGACGTGTTGGGGAAGCACCCGAAGAACTTGAGAGCATCTTCAGTTGAGTAGCAATGGAAAACCGAGGCTTGTCTCATAGACCATATAAGTGTACTTAATCAATCCTTGTATACAGTACATAACATGTTTGTGTTTTTGCATTAGACTATCATCAGTCCTCAGTAAGCCATTTAGATGTAGCAAATTTTGAATTGTATAGATTACAAAAGAATTACTGGCTTTATACTGCAATTTTCCGGTATTTCTCCTTGCTGCTGATAAATTTTCCTCAATTTCATTTCGTTTAAGATATAGAGAAAATGACTTGGTTAGGCGATAAGTTGCTAATGTCCATTAGTTTATTTGATTTTACACACATCAACGTCACACACTTCTCTTTAAATTCATTATCAATATATAATTATATTACAAGCTTATATATATGTATATTAAAAAATACATCCAGATATATGGTTTGCATATCCCAATCTGATAATGCAAATGGATGCTCTGCGGATCTTTGATTGCTTATATTGGCTTGTGCAGTCCGTTGCCCATTAGTTTTTTATCCTATGTACAGTCTTCTTATCTATATAATTGAGCTTTGACTTTGTTAATTGGGCATTCATAATTCATACTTGGTATTAAGACTCCTTTTTTCTGTTGGGGTGGGTGGTGTGGGTGTGTGTGTGATTAAGTCATGATCTTCTATTACATCTAGGGATAGCAACGGGTTGGACTTGTCGTCAAGGATTTTCAGGAGGCGAGATTGGGCAGCGATAGGGATGTAGTGAGGCAACACTAGGTAACTATGAGGCATTTTGTCATTCAAAATTACATTTAGAGTGTGTTTGATTGACATGGAAAATACCACCTAGAAAAGAAAATGTTTTCCATCTTTTGTGGAAAATAAAAATCACCTCTACCCAAAGAAAATATTTTCCTTAAAAACAAGACAAATTAGGCATATTTTCAAAAGTTGGAAAATGTTTTCCATGGAAAAAAATAGCAATCAAACACTCCAAATAGGAATTTGAGTGGAAAACTGATATTTTTCATGGAAAATAAATGTAATCAAACACATCCTTAATGTCTCTTTGTCACAATCTTTTAGAAGCAATCAACTTTAAGAGACGAACTTTTATTGAATTGTATCGTGTCTCTTTGAGTATGTTTGGAGAATAAATGACTTTCTTTTAAGTTTTGAAACCTAAATGGTTTGGACAAATATTTAAACAACTGTGAATCTCACAGCTTAAAGTCAAATAAGTTGAGATTAAGCTCCCGTTTGGCTCCATTAATTTTCATTAAATTACATTCCATTTTTCTCTTTTCTTTTTGCAACCAAACAATTTTCTATAAAATAATATTACACATAAATCGAAAAAATTTCATTCTTTTTCAACCATTCATTTTTCAAAAAATACTATTCCACCCATTTTCATTTCTACAAAATGGGGGTCAAACGAGGGCTTAAGTGTTTGTGTCCCATTATTTGTGTGTAATGTATTGTGGAATAGTGATTGATGCTGAAATGTGTGGTTAAAAAAGAGTGTAATTTTTTTTTATTTACGTGTAATATTATTTTAATGAAAAAATGTGATTGAAAGTGAGTACTATAGAAAAAATAAATAGTTTGGATTCCGACGAGACGCTGATGTGAGAAGAAACCATTGGTGAGAGTTTGTTATTAAACACATGGACTAATCAGTCTAACACTAAATTATTGGCATAAAATATTCAATTTAATTAAAATCAGGGTTTGAGCTTTTGTGTGAAATGCACGTAACATACAGCAAATCAATAATTCTATACAAAAATTGCAATTGGCTTTCTTTATTTTAATAATATTCCACTTTTTAAACAGCATTTTTTGTTTTGATCGGTACTTTTTAAACAGCATTAGTCTGACGCAAGTCCGTCACTGAAAGGGACAAACAAATATATTAGTGTTAATTTCATAAATGGTCACCAATGTCCTAGTGAAATTATAAATTAGTCACTCTATTTGACGTATTCAGTCCATATTTGTCGTCAGTTCATTAAACCTTGACATCGACCAACGACTGTCATCTATATATTATGAAATTATGTATCAATACCAATTCGATCCGAGCTCTCTTGAATTTGAAAAAAGAGCGGATCTGCAGGTCCCAAATGAATTGGCTTATTCGAAAAATTATGACATCCCTTCTCTTCCACTTCACGCCTCATTTACTCAGATTTCTTCCATTTCATCGATTTTGTTTGGATCCTCATTTTCTTGCAAGATTTGAAAATCACCGTCAATACATCGGTGTAGGTTCAGGATAATCCTTTGTTTGATAGCCCTCTGTTGTATGTTGCGTTCGGGAATGATGAATCGCTCCCCAAAAATACTGTGAGGTGCTAAGAAATTGTCGAAGAGATATTTGATATCTTTCTTTTTAAATAAGATCTCAATTCCAGCGACGGTTTCATTAAAGGAATATCCAGAAAAGCATTTTCGGAATCAGTCTGATTCTATCTCTGTTCCTTCCATGCCTTTCTCGTCATTAATATGTTTGCTCGCAGCAAAAAAAAAAAAAATGAATTGTGGAAAAATCGATGTTTCTTTTTTAGTACCGAAAATGAAACTAAAATTAAATAGAAAAATAAAAAGAATGTAAATAGTCTTTCTTCTTTTTGTTGTTGCTTGAATATAAAATAAAATGCAATTTTAAGGATAATTTTGAACAGAAAAATTCCAAATTCCAATTTTATGGGGGTTAATTGGAAGAAATTGTTTTCTTTGATGATTATTAGTTGGAAAAAGCCAAACGAACATAGCCGTTGACACGGCGGTTGACATAGCACTCACAGCCGAAGTGTAGGACCCCATGAATAAAATAATGTCGACCTCGCGATGTGTGAGTGCTATGTCAACCGTCGTGTCAAGCTCTATGTTCGTGTAGCACATCCCTAAATTTAACTTTAGATATCAATTTCAAATTTTGATAGGATTTTTTATTATTATTATTATTATCATCATCATTGAAATGAATTTAGGGACTGTTTGATGTAGAATTTTTTAGAACAAGTTTTGTGAAAAGTTATTTTTTTTAGATAATATGTGGTTAAATAAAAGAAAAAAGTTATCAATATACATGTAAAATTATTTAATTATGAAAATACATAATTGAAAATGAGTTTTAAAGAATTAGTACAAAAAAATGAGCTTAATAACTTAAACACAATTTGAACTTTAGTCCTAATCTAGTTTAGCTGAAATTGAGACTTTTAGTATATTTTGATAACATAAAAGTATGGTCGGAAAGTTGATAAAAGATAGGAAAAATTGCAGCAGAAACTCCAAATCTTTGAAACATTAGCAGACTTTCCCTCAAATCTTTGATTTGTTACAACCATCACCCATAATCTTTTCAAACGTTGCATCTGAAGCCCTTTTTGACGATTTTCGTCCAAAATTCCGTTAGTTGACCAAAAAAACTATTTTGACCACATATTAACAATTTTTAGAGGGGCAAAATTGTAACTTTGCATTAAAATCAAAAATAAAAAAAATAAAAAGTGGTCTTCTTCTTCCCCAACCCATCCACCCACCCCAACTCAAAACAATAGCTCAAAATATTGAGCGACACTGAAGATTTCGACAAGGATGAGCTGTTGTAGATGGCACTGAAAGAGCAAGCACAGCGCAATGTCAATTACCAAAAACCCACCAAAACAATTTCCAAGCCCCTCCAAAACTACGTCCAGCCGCCTTCCAATTGGGCTTCAATCCCTGTGAAAAATCTCATCCCAATTGCAATCGTCGCTCATCAGCAGCAAAAGAAGGTGACAGTGGAAGAGGACGATGATTCGGAGGTGGAAATGCTAAGTATATCTTCTAGAGATGAGGATGGTCATGGGATCAGGGTGAAAACCCAGGCTGGGAGATGATGAGGTCACGATAAAGGATGGGATGGAGAAAAGCCTAATTACTAGAAGCACGTGGATGAAACTGAGATTTTCTTGTAATTGTGGGCTTTGTAATGGTGGATTTTTGGTTTGAGTTGGGGGTGGGGTGGAGGTGGGTGGGTTTGGGAAGAAGAAGAAGATCACTTTTTTTTTTTGAATTTTGATTTTAATGCAAAATTACCATTTTACCCTTCTAAAAATTGTTAAAATGTGGTCAAAATAATTTTTTTGGGTCAACTAATGGAATTTTGGACGAAAATTGTCAAAAAGGGCCTCAGATGCAATGCTTGGAAAGGTTAGGGGTGACGGTTACAACAAATCAAATATTTGGGAAAGTTTGCTAATGTTTCAAAGGTTTGGGGCTTTTACTGCAATTTTCCCTAAAAGATATTTGGTCACACGAATTGCAATTGAAATGAGTTTAAGAAAAAATGTGCTTTACAAATTAAGAAAATTGCTTAGCCCCAATTAAAATGGAATTTTAGCGCACCTCGGTATTGGCTGAGGCGCCAGTGGACCCCGGCGTGGCAGTCGCCTCGACTAATGTCAAGGTACCGAGTGTCCATTTTGGACACCCCGTTGGATACCACAATGTACCCATAGCATGATTGTTTTATTTGAATAATGCTTGTGGTACACGGAGATGTCAAACGGGGTGTCTAAAATGGACACCCGGCACCTCGATATTGGCCGAGGCGCCGGTGGGCCACGGCGTGGCAGGCGCCTCGGCCAATGCCGAGGTGCCGAGTGTTCATTTTGGACATCTTGTTGGACACCACAATGTACTCATAGCATGATTGCATTTCATTTTCTGCACCTGTGGGGCCACTTTCACTGAAGTTGTCGGTCATTCTGCATAAAAACACAATCAGAGGTTGATTTTTGGGGGAGCTATTATTGGGTGAGAACCCCTGGATGTCGGTGGCTTTTGCCTTTTTGGAAATATGTTGCAGGTCTCGAAATGAACTTTCCAAATTTACCCTTCAACTAAATGGTGGGAGGTTGTTTTAAAGTTAAGAAATAGGAGGGTTATTTTTGGAAATTGGTTTTAAAAAATGGATTTATCTACTTGTACATTATGACATCCATAATTGGCACCCGCTATTGGAGGAGTTTTAAAAAATGGATTTATCTACTTGTACATTATGGAATCCATAATGAATGTCATAATGTACAAGCAAGTGGCACCCCCCTATTGGAGGGGTACCAGACATTTTTTATCTACTTGTACATTATGGTATCCATTATGAATGCCATAATGTACACCTAGCATCCTCCTTAAAAAATAAGGATGGTTTGTACATTTTGGGTTTCCATGTTTCTGAAAGATTTTAATTGTCTGACATGTTTTGTGCACTTTGTAATTTTTTCATGTATAGTACACAGTTGAAAAAG